CAGTTGTGTAACCGCACAACGCTCCAAAAATAGCGTGCGCACACCGTGCATACATCGTTCACACACCGTCCGCACATCGTCCACACATGGTGCGCACAACTGTACGATTTAACAATCGTTCGCCCCCTTGTGCGCTTCTCTCCGCACAACTGTGCGATTAGGTACAGTTTGTTGATCAATATTACGAAATGAAATAAATACGGAAGGATGTACATGTACAGCTGTATATATTACTGTGATTTCTCATCACAATAATTAAGATTATGTACAAGTTTACAATGCGTGTTACACAATATTACAATGACCGTTAGACTGTCAAGAATGGGTTTGGCTCCTAGATATCAGAACAGGTAAATAACATTCTGATGAGTGGACGGAGTTTTACCTGGCCTGTGCCTGACACCTATAGCTGATGTGTGATGAAGTATGACCGTTATGAAAACACAACTGGACAATTAGTATTTGTTAATTGCATTCGGTTTGGCTTATAGATCCCCTTCACCTGGATTAACACCCCGATGAGTTACGTGCATCGTGTAAGGTCCCGGGGCGGAGACAAGTACGGTCCAGGTTCATGTACAAAGTAGCTACATGGTATGTTTACCTGTATACGGGAACTGTGTTATAATTTTACATGTCGATTAAGGTCGTTCAAAAAACACCGAAAACACAATTTCTAAATTCAGGAAAGCGTAGACATTAAATTTAAAGATAAGCTTATAGATGCAGCTTGTATATATAAACACACTTTAAAATCAAGTGTATATGTTTAAACACGAAACCGTATATATTGTTAAGGCGTTCCTCAATTTACACCAACCACGATTGTTTTCGCACAACGTTCGTCCATCGTGCGCACAAATGTGCGTATGCAATGATCGTCCAATTTTTCAACGTTCGCACATCGTGCACACATCATTCATACACCGTGCACACACCGTGCGCTCTCCGCACATCGTGTAACGTTGTGCGATCCCACAACTGTACAATGTATATTAAGTAAGAAGTTGTATTAACAAAACAGAAATTGTAATTGTAAATCAACGTTATTCACATCAACAGTTGCTAACTTGCTATAATAATATCATAATCGACTACGACGTTGGAACGATTTGAAAGTGAAACTTTCAGCAGCTGATGAACCTTCCTGACGTTCAAAGTACTATAACATCATTTGATTTTCCAACGTCTGAAGAGAGGATCACTGCACGATCCTTACTAACAAAACGTCTTTACAATTTGATAACTTTGATGGGGATACATGGCCACGCCCATTGTTCGCAACGTAGCTCTACAACATCCAGCTATGTTAATGATCAGGGCCTGTATTCACGAAGCCGTACTTTAGCCCAAGCATGTTTTTTTGTGCTCAAACTAACTTTCTTGTAACTCACTTAAATTATTTGACCAAGTTTCAA